CTATAATTTAGTTTATTTTAGTGAGCTGTAACTGTAAGCTTCGTATAAATTATAACATGAATTTTGCAGAATTCACGATGGTTTATTGTACCAACAAAACCCGGCTAATTATTGTACCCCACTACCCAAACTTTTTTTTAATCCCATGTTGTGTGGATACTGATATCGAATAATAATATTGATTTCATGTACCGGAATAATAATCATGTTGATTTTTACGGCGTGTATAAAAATATTACATTTTATTGTAGGTACTTTTGCGCACGATCTAATAAAATAAACCGGATCAAAGACAATCAATAATATGTATTTTATCATCGTGCTTATCCACCTCTATCTACATCGCATTACAAGATTTTCCATTAAAAGTAAATCTACAATTAAATTATACTATTATTAATCTTTTTGTTTGACCTCTCATGCTTCTTATAGCTTCTGGATATATTAATAATGGTTTAATTATTTACAATGTCCAATCTGATAGGAGATGTTTCTTGATGTTTTGTAAATTTTTCTAGTACCCAAGCATCAACATGCTAAGTTTAGTTATGTCACAATTTCCTCATTAAAATTTAGAATTAATGAAAGTTTAGTTAAGTCATAATTTGGGTAAAACAATATGAGTTTTGCATGTGTGCTATTTTATGGCAGTAAAATATTTACTTAGTTAATACGTCGCTAATCCAATGTTATCCCATTGTAAAGATCATTTGCATCAATAATTTGACACTGGGTAGTAAAGTATTAATAACGAAATCAACATAACTAAATCAATCAGTGAAAAAATCAATGTCTACACGAATAAATCGACCCTCGTTGCTCAAATATATCACAAATTCATATATTATGTACGTATACCTAAAGTACTTCAAATTCAAAAAATACATTTTTGTTCACAACAGATAACAAATGTATAAAGAGATCAATTCATAAAGCGACGAAGAGGATTGCAACATTTTATGAGTTTTCCAACCAGCAATATTTATATGTAGGTTAGTAATCATAAGTTTTGTAGTGGAAAAGTGAATAATGCTACTGTCGAAGTTGTGTAACTTGTGTTCAACTATATATCTGTATAGAGAAAGAGTTACACATAATTATTTCAATAATTCGGATAAAAATATCATAACATATCATTATAGCTCTTCAAAACAATTAAACGAATGATGAATCAACTTAGTACTGAACTACTGATTTAGTCACCGATTTGATGAAGAAAACATCTATATACTGAAATTGTGACAGATGCGTGGTGATGATATATTATTTAGACTTCATAATTTGTTCCTAGTGTTAAGTATATAATCAAATGTAGAAGTAAAATAATTTTGTGATAATGTTAGACATGACAAACCATTCGATTTTCTTTGGTTATATTCGCAGTTTCATTGGGAAGAATTTTTAAAACTTCGAAAC